CCGCACTCCCATCATCCGTGTTCGATGTTGGCGTGATAATTACTCGCCCATTTGGCTCGCTGTCATTGGAAGTGTTGGTCGCATGCGCCGTCCCCTCGTGACCGATTCCCCGTCCCAGGCAAAGTCTCAGCACGGAATTGAGAATTGAAGGTCCTTGTGCTTGTTGATGGACTCAGATCGCATCTTCTCCTTCTGAATTGCTTTCTGATACCCACCTGTTGGCTTCTGTCGGCACACATGGGAGGTCAACACTTAGCATGCTAGTATGAATCACTAGACCACTCTAACTACTCAGCATGAAAGTTGGTGTGTAGCACCATGCTGGCAGTCGTTATCATACCTCGTTTGCTTTTGTGACACTGATTTAGTTATTTTAGCTTTATATTGGGGGGATGCCCCGTGGGTAGTAATATCACGACTTGTCATGCGTGCTAAAATATGAATCAGTCAGACTACTTGTAAGTCCCGAATTGCCCGTTTGATTTTTAGTAGGGGGAGGGATTTCGCAGACTTAAATGATTCGTTTTACCCAGTTGTAAAAAAATCGGTGATGTCGGTGGAATTCAAGCCCACACCAGGTAGAGGAAGACTTTGAATTTTCCTTTATTCAACTTTTTACCACGTAGTTTCAATAGGAATTTTATTGAGTCATCAAGTATGACATTTAGAAAAAACGAAGTTGGTCGATGTCTTATAAATTATTAATTAAAGTAAGCAAATAAACTTTTAAATTCAGGGGTAGCTCGTTCAGTCCGGCAGTGTCACACCCCGGTAATATATAACCATTAAATTCTTAGGCGGCCTTTTTTTCAGCATTGCTGGAATTAATTTGTCTTCCAATGAAATAGTTATCCAAATTTCGGCAATATCTGTTAAGTATGGGAGATAATAGAAACATTTCAACTCCAATTCCTGGAGTTTTGCTATTTTCATTTATGTAGTGTGTAGTCTATCGTTGTCGTGCAATAGGAACTGATAACTTAAGCAATCTAGGTTTTCTGGAAGGTTTTGGACCATTTGGTCTAGCTGCCATGCTCAGTGAACTAGGTTTAATGAAATCCTACTTGATCGCACTGCCACCCGACCACCGAAAACTCCACAGGTTCTTTTTATAAGTATTGCCCCTCGCGCTGTTTTTGGTGGTTTATCCTTGTCCAATTACTGTGCTAAACGTTTCCGGTTATCGTATGGAATCCATTTCTGACCAACCGTTACAATGTGATTAAAAAATGAATACTTTTTTGTGACTAGAAGCAACATCGTGCAAACTCCCGAATGTTGTTGTTTCTGCTTTTCGTTCAGTTCATGCGAAACCCAAAGATCCAATTTTTTTACTTCACTGACTTCAGCTAGGTAAGTTAATAGGCTTTGCTGACTAATACCAAACACCAACAATAATTCATGCGCACTTTGAGGTGGATCTAACTAGACGGTGACTTTTAGTTTACCATCATCCGCCCTTGATTCTGGCCGACTGAGTGGCTCATTCATGAGCTCAACGTTACCCGAACGAATACTAACCAATATGATACTGCCTACTAGAGCAAAATACAATATTAATATTCCGAGCTGTCTGCGATGCTGTATTTCTAAGTTGGAACTCCTATTTCATTATTTTATGAATTTCCAACTTTCCCTTCCTTAAACAAAAATAATAAAAAAAGATCCGTTTTCACTTTCTTTAAAACTATGAAGTAATTTTGAACAAGGAAATATGCGTGACAGCTTTTTAACAAAAACAAACAATTGAAAATATAATATCCATATAAAATAAAGAAGCTGTCAATCTTGACCATATCCTCACTAAAAATCTCTCATTTAACGATTCAGTAATGATAATCTCTACTCATCCTTTACTCCGCAGTTTGAGATGCTGGATCACTACGGCAGTGAGCATTTCTGCCCGATTACAATGGTCCGCCTGTTCGGACTGGTGTCCGATGACCTTGATGATGCTGCTGCAGAGGCCGAAGGAGGCGTTGGGCACGTTCCGGACGCGGTCCCGTCAATAGCACCAGCAGAACCGCGCCATGACCAATTAAAAGAGCCGGGCTCAGTTGAGAAACCAACTTCAGAGAAGAAGCCGGAAGTGGATCTCAAATCCCCTCAAAATTCCGTGACTGGTACGGGAACATTTTTCGATGCCATTCCTGCCCTCTGTTTACTTCAAACTTTTTTTCCCTATTGCTTTCGTTACATTGTTGCTAGGTCGACCCAGCTGTTTTTCAAGACTAGTTTATGCTTAATTAGCTCACGTGGTGTTTTGGGCCTAAGTAAAATCGTCCGATGTAGAATTACACTTCGTGCTGCCGCTTACGGGCCCAAACAAGACACATTTTTTGGATTTATGACCGCATACTTGTTGCTTTTTTAGTTGTTTTAGCTTCATAGCTGACCTTGAGAGCACTTTTTTCCTAGACCTTGCCTCAGTTGTTAACAGTTTTTTTTCGCTATCAGTGGAAAACGTACCCTTTTGCACTAGAAAAAGAAGAGTCTCGCAAAAATGTCGGTTCATGGAAATGACATTTACCGACTGCAAGATTTAATGCGAGGCTTCAAGGTAAAACAAAATCGTTTGAAATGGGTCGCTAAATTCCATTCCCATGTGGCTATGTGTATACTCGATAACAGTCGAAAAGCATGTAGCAACGGCTGATCGTTACGCTCGATGACCAATCGAACTTGGATTCAAATTTCAGGTCTTAGCCTCCAGTGACGGGGTTATTGTTGACTCGTGACAGTAACGGGACTAGAGGTGGTCATTCTAATCTCATGTTCTTGTTGACCACAGTTTTTAGCACACTGTTTTCCTTATCCACTTAGCAATATATTGGAACCAAAAATTCCAGATTTTTTTATCACCTTGAAAGTTAACAACTTCCTGAAGCTGCCGACACTGTTTACTTAGTCATCCCCTATGTCAGCGATTACCGGGAAGTAGTCACAGCATTTTGTACCCTCGAAGATTTATTCTCAGGTAAACTGACATTTATTTCAAAGTTGACCAGTCACGGCTTGTCATTCGAGGAAGTACACGACAAAAGACTATCTATCGACTTCGGTAGATAGAACGAGATCTAGACAGAATTGGCCCAGTGCCTAGCCCGTTATCGCTGAGCATTGTTCGCACTGATACATTGTGCTATGAACTCCAGAGCCGGCCCAATCATCAACTTTTTATAGCAAATTAATGTGTGCATATGGGAGTTTGTGTTTCAGTGTCTTTAAAATGTGCAGTAGCGAGTCTTCGCATGTTTGGACTCGGTTCCTTTCGCTGTCGTAGTCCTTAGACATCGTAACTCATAAATAGCTTGTTTTGTACAGTCGATTGCCTATTTAATGAAATCCAATAATTTTTATAAGAAAATCCCTGTTACGCAAAGCAGTCCAGGCTGCGACTTCAAAAATCTTATAGCAATAGAGTAACTTTCGTTCTTAAAAAGAGGGCATCTTGCGGTCTATCAAGTAATATTACATAGTTTGGAACAACTAGCTTTTTCAGAAAAGCAGAAAATTCGAAAAGTTGTGAAATCAGGGTTGCTAAGTAAACTTACGTTTAAAATGTAGTGAAAGTGTGTTCATGCAAATAACCGAGTGAATAAAGCAGCACGAGTACATTTTTGTTGGAAAATAATCCTTTTGTGAAATTTTCATATGCATATGCTTGCATATCACGTACGGTGTAAAGTACGGCTGTTATCAAACAGCACGAAATTCAAGTATGCATTTCAACATGGTTTCACGACAGCTGCATGCTGTTTGTTCTGTTAATTTAATGCTTTAGATAGGATGCACAAAGCTAACCAGATTTTCGCTTGATTGTACCGATTGATACGTCATAGGAGTAAGATATTTCGTAAGTACACATGTGGACTTGCCGGTCACTGACTAATAAATGTAAATAGGCTTGTCAGGTGCAATCGTAAACATACCATTTTGTGTACATTAGGAGTTTTTTTCCTCCCATTTCTTTGTAATTATTTTTGGTGTTCAATCACGACGAGATCGGTCATGAGACAGTGACGAACACGACAATTTTCGGTTTTTCAGTCGATTGTCAAAAAATAAGGATTATGCCCTACCTGTTTACAAACACCTTCAAAATAAGCTAATCCTTAAAAGCATTTACATTGATATTGGGTTTCTGGACATCGTTTCTTATGCAGCTGTCTGTTTGGGTCATGGTTTTAGAATCACCCAAACATCTGAATTAATTGCTGAGAAAATAAGCGTCCAGACCAAAGTCTCAAATGAATATGCCTAAGATCAATTTAAAAAACGCCCTACAGTAAGTTACCTCTTGAAAAGGACTTTAATTAGCTATTTTGACGTCGAATATCTGCGTACTTTACCTATCTGGAGATTAAAGCAAAATAAAAGTAAGAAACACAAAAGGTGTTAGATAACGGAGTACAAATAAGCATTTTAAAACCAGGAAAGGCGTAAAAATACGCAATCCACGATCTTAAAAGGAAATCTGCTCCCCGCGAGCACTATCTAAACCTAGTTGAGTAGACAACAAATACCGACTTAATACATATTTAATGTTTGCCATAGCTGATAGAATTCTGTCTAAATATTCATATCAACTTTCAGTCTGCGACTACCAAGCCGTATTCAAACCGATTTACACCAGGTTAGTGATTAATATCTGAGGAACTAAAAAATATCGATTCTTCTTTCAGGCACCGACTTTTTTCATGAAGTCTGTATTTTGACGCCTAGAAAAAATTGGCAACGAATGCCCGTGTTATACTTCTAATCCGGCCACCAATTTTAACCCTAACAAACATAATCGATAGGGTTAAGTGGGCGTGTATAAAGGTCTACTTCAGTGCTAAAACACTCACTTGAACGATAACGGGAAGCATACCAATTTATCTTAACTGTCAAAGCGTTACCGTCCGTTAAACTGCTTTACCCCAATTGCCACCGTATAACCCCTTGCTGTCGATTTTGTTCGTAACTAGGCTGTTACAAGTAATCGTTGCCGAAAACTCACTCCTTATAAAGGTTGGATTCGTTGTAGGACCCAATTACACCTAGCTTTTCCTTTTCCACTCAGAGTACCATAGATGGACATGGGATGGTCACGTGAAAAATATTTCCTTAAGCCGTGTATGATTATGTAAAACTCACAAGGTCACTGGAGTAGGCCCACCGACAGGAAATGTGGACATGATGATACCGCACTGCCTCAGGCACACGATTTCTTCACACAGACCCCCATTCAGGAACAGAAACATAAAAGTGTGGTAGATAGATGCCCACAAATCCGTTATGGAACTCACTCGTCATATTATGTCTTGGGGCCCCCTCGCGCTCGAGCGCCGCCAGCAGCCGGTTAACGGCTAGCATCTGATAGGCAGAAAGATATTGCCGACAAAGACAAGAGAGGCTGGAGTGACCATTTCTGACTTATTAGACGTCAGCAGCCAGCCATACCCAATCGCAGGTGGTACGCCACCCGAGGCTCGAACCTGCGACCTTGTTAGAAGTCTAACGCTCTAACCACTGCGTTGCGGGCTCGTTTCTTGGCCGGTTTCGATCGGTAATACACACAATTGTAGGTAAGCGCTAACCAGTGTCTTTCTGCTACCCGTTGAGCAGCCGTTGGCGGGACTTGAGAGAGAGAGAGCCCCGAAGCACAATGGGACGGGTGATTCCTTTAACCGATCGGTGAGCGCCCACTTACGATTGTGTATATTGCCGATCGAAGCCGGCAGGACAAAGAACCGCTGACGCAGTGATTCGATCGTTTGACTTATACCCAACAGAGTCGCGGGTTTGGGTCTCGGAGGCCACAACCCCTAGCGTTGGGATTGGCTGGCTGTTGACAGCTAATAAGTCAGAAACGGCTATTCAAGTGTCCTCGTCTTTGTCGGTAGTGTAAACCATCTACAACGCAAAGGACTTCGGCAGCCTGACACTTCACTGAGAACACATAGCTTCGGCACTATATGGACAGCTCACTGCAAACTCGTACACCTATTTCCTCAGAGTATATGGGGGATTTTAAGCCGAGGACACAACTGCAGTGTATTTACACGCAAGATTCGATTCTGCTCACATTTTGCCGTTTTAGCCAATCGGAGTTTAGCACGAAAGCTTCTCAGGCCGCTATTACTCTCCCTAGTACAACTCTGTAGTTTTCAGTGGCTCAATTGTCCCATGTAACTCCTACACCCTGGTCGCGTTCTCAGCCTCATCGGTTTTTTATCCGTATTCGCTGTTTGGCCCCTGTGAACGTTAGTAGTGCTAGACTGCACTTTATTTCCTGGCGTCTCTTCAACCCCCCCCCGCTGCCTGTCCGGTTTTAGTGTGCTAGCTGTCTGTAACCCTGTTTTCCCCTGAAGCGTTTGTTTGGCGAATGGGCTTGCCTTCGGCGTCGGCTAATGCTCTTTTGGAAGCTGATGTGACCTATGCCCATCTTTCATCAATATAACCCTACGCCAGCAGAGGTCTTTCCGACTTGTCTGCGTCTGGATGCACTCCTGTCACCCGGGCTGGAGTGACGTTGGCGCCACAAATGTAGCTCTCACATGGGCTAGGCTAAACACTCGGGTCTTGGACGACTGAGCGGCAAAGTACTCAGCATGTTCTGTTAGGGCTCATGTGACCTTTGTGGAGCTATTAGCTCTCAGAGCACGCTTCAGGCGGCTTTTGGTCGTGTTAAGCGGCTTTACTATAATCGTGGTTGTTTTGGAGCCTGAAACTATTTCTGGAAATGATATTGCGTTATAACTGACCATTTGAGCCTAGCCGCTCTATACATAACCGCTTGCCAGCGATCACTGATCTGCGTAAAAGTCGGCATTTTCACAATGTCCGCTTATGTTGCAATCTAACTGACGCGAGAATTTTTCGATCTTGTTACAGTGTAACCGTGCGTCAGACGCCTTCTTTAGCACCAGCTGCTTATCTTGTCACCAACTGTTTTGCTATTTAATCTTCCTCTCCTTTTTTCCCAGTGCCTACCTTGCTTTCTAACTGCTTGTCCTATTGCAGTTCCACAAGATACACCTTCGGGGGCTACGACAATCCTTGATTCCTCCCCGCCACCTGTTCAACCTAGTAAAGATGTCCCGGTGACGGATCCGAATCCGGCCGCAGCGTCCCCTAAACACCGTGTTGGTGGTGCTCAAAATTCAGTAAAATCTCCAGACGTCAAGTATAGACCTGTAAAACGTCTACCGCCAAATAAACGTACAGAAGGTAAACCTCGGTTGTTTTCTTATCACTTGCACAGTCAGTACTGTTGGAACCTTGTCCTGTCATCTTTGAATTCCGATCTTCTAAACGTCACAGGGCTGCAGAAGAAATACTAACAAGGACACAGGATGAGTCTACCACGCGTGATGAAAGTTCAGCAGGTCAGAGCCTGCATGCTGTTTAACAGACTTTCAACAGTTAGGCAATTAGCGTTAATTGTTGCTGAATGTTTGCAGTAATGACTGTATCCTATAAATACTGCAGACTCCTGTGCATATGCTACCCATACCTGCTACTGCTATCTGACTATGTCTCTGATGACGAATCCGCGACGGATCTCGAAACGTCAGGCGAATAAAATATTGTCCTAGCGATCGAGTCGTCTTCTTAATTACTTCTTGGGACTCGCATGTTCGCTTGTATTGGCAATTTGCAGTATCTTTGTTTTCGACGATTCGGTATGCCAGAAAAACGCGGACGTCAACTCGAAATGCCAACCACAATTGGGTATACTACGACGGATAAACTAGATCCGAACTTCAACGCTAGCTACCCGTAGTCAACAAAATCAAGGGGTCGGCCAAATATAACGCCTGACACCAAAAAGCTGTGTTCGTTGGCGTTTGTCACACACGTGCACAAGAAAAATTTGACAGTACGGGTGACCCGCAGGTGCGAGGTCAAACTCGATGTGAATAAATAAAAAAAACTGTAATTTCTTTGTTGCATGCAACATAATGGATAATTTGAGTTGACCCAATTGTGAAAAAACTCGAGGCGTTTGGCCAAACGCC